ACCGAGTGGCGCGTTTCCCTGATTCTCTTGATTATCTGTGGCAACAGTGAGACCGGAGGGAAAGCATACAGCCGGCGACTGGGCCAGATTTGGGCCAGCGCGTCCTCGTTCTTTGAAAAGAACATTGGGTAGTGAGCGTTGTCCTTTGACGCAAAAAGGTCGACTTCCGCTTTGCCTGAAAAGGCGCCATAGCAACTGGACTGTTTGGGGATGCAGGGACCATTCCCCTGGGGGGACATTGTCCCTGGACAGTTTGTCTGGGCCGTCGTTCAGGTAGCATGGCACATGCGCAGCTCTCAGTGAGTGCAGATGGTGCTGAGACCAAACAAGGAGGCGTTCTGTTAGATCGCAGAGGTTCCTGGATCTGACACCGCCCTGACGGTTCACGTAGGACACCACAGACATGTTGTCCGAACGGACTAGAACATGGTGGTCCCATATGAATGGGAGGAAGCGCTTCAGCGCGTTCTCGACTGCTATCATTTCCAGACAGTTTATGTGAAGGAGCTTTTCTTTTGGTCTGACCACAGGCCAAAGACCAGTCTGCCCTCGAGGAGAGCGCCCCAACCTAAGTTGGACGCATCCGTCGAGATGACCTTTCGATACGAGACTGCTCCTATCATCACTCCCCGCTGATACCAGTCGGCCGCCAATCAGGGCTGCAGAGCTGTAATGCAGCTCTGAGTCACTCTGATTCGTTCGCAGCCGGAGGCCCAAGCTCGGCGAGACGCTCGAGCGTTCAGCCAGCGTTGTAGCAGGCGCATGAGCAGTAAGCCCAGCTTGAGCACTGCAGCAGCTGAGGCCATACAGCCCAGCATCCTCTGAAATGTCTTCAGAGAAGCGATGCTGCCTTCCTGGAAAGATGTCGAACACGGCGCGCGCGCTGTGTCGATAAACGAGCCATCATAGCCACAGAGTCCAGTTCTATTCCTAGAAAGGAAACTAACTGGCTGGGCAGTAATGAGCTCTTGGTCCAGTTGACCGTGAGACCCAGGCTTTCCAGATGACTGAGGAGCACTGTTCTGTGAGATAAAAGTTATATCTCTGACTGTGCCAGAATCAGCCAATCGTCCAGATAGTTCATAATTCGCAAGCCCTGATTTTTCAAGGGGGCGAGAGCCGCGTTCATGCACTTCGTGAATGTACGGGGTGCTAAAGACAGGCCGAACGGCAGGACAGTGTATTGATATACCTGACCGTCGAAGGCGAATCTCATGAATGGCCTGTGACGGGGTATTATCTGAATCTGAAAATAGGCATCTTTCAGATCGAGAGAGATAAACCATTCCCTCGGGCGAATTTGCGTGAGAAGTTTTCTGGTCGTGAGCATTTTGAACGGTCTTTTCATAAGAACTTTGTTCAAATGTCTCAGATCTAAAATAGGTCTGAGGGCTCCGTCCTTCTTAGGTACGAGAAAATAACGGCTGTAAAAGCCTGACTCGCTCAGAGAAGGCGGTACCGGTTCTATGGCCCCTTTGCACAGCAGTTTCGCTATTTCTGCGCGGAGTAGATGTGCTACTTCCACATTCACTGTCGTCGCGGTCCGTGCTCGAAAGCGCAGGGGACGGCGATCGAACTGTAGCGAATAGCCCTGTCTTATTGTGCTTTTATATGTACAGCTAGGGGGCAGAATACCCTCTGGGTTCCGATCGCCGCACTTCGTGGGCTCGAAAAACTGAACCGGAGGTAACGTGCGCGCCCTCGGTGCTGGAATACGGCGGCTCGCTGACAGCGATGGTTGGCTGTTTCACATGTGTCGTCCCGATTGCTGTGAACGGGGAACGTTTTGTGATAACTTTGTGATGCGCGAGCAGCGCCAGGGGCGAATTGCTTATTAGTAAGCGTGAGCGCTCATGAGTGGGCACGTAACTTACACTCATAGCCAGGGGCAGAATAGCCGTTTTGTGATGCGCGAGCAGCGTCGGGGCGAAGTGTTTAGTAGTAAGCGTGAGCGGGCACGTAACTTACATTCATAACCTGACCGATATGAGGCTGTTTTGGCCGTGTGACAGAGCGGGCAGAGAGTAGGCGTGAGCACAGAGTTGTGGGCATATTTCCTACATCTAACACTCGAGCGGCATTTGCCAGCTTTATGAGAGTGGGCTCTGTGAGTGTGAGAGACACGGGGGTATATCGTGCTTGTGTGTAGGGGTGAACTCTGAGATGTGGGCACATTCTCTACACTTACGACACCAACGGCATGAGCCAGATAACCAGACATTATACCCTTGAGGTTTCTCTGGGTCGCCGTAGAAACGGCGGTTGTGTGCAGGCATGCGGGTTGCATTACCGGATCGTCAGCTGCTGAATACACCGCTGAATACAGCTGCTGAAATCACAGGGCGAGATATTTCGACGGAGGTCCGGCCGTGGCGGGACTCAACCGTCTTTTCCTCCTTGCTGCTGCTGGGAGGACTTCACGTGCTCGCGCTGCGAGGACGGAGGCTGAATTGGACGCTGGGTAGCGCTTCGCGCAGGAGGCTGATCACGTGAGCGGCCTGCAGCTGAGCTGGAGCGTCGCTCCTTAAATCCGTGATGGCAGCTGGATCTTGGATGGCAGCCTTTCTTGTCTCCTTCTCGGCGGCGCCGTCCACTGGGGAGAGTGTCGAGGAGACATGTGAGTGGAGTCTCGCGGAGAATGGTGCATTCCACGATTTAGGAAACTCCGTGTGAAGCTCCAACAGAACAGGCCAGGATAGAGCAGCTGTCACCTGCAGCATCTCCTTCCGCCTCGCATCAGGCTCAGGCGGTCTCAGTGAACGGCACTTCTTCTTGCGCGGTCCAGCAGAGGGTGGAGTGACAGCTTCGGCGTTACACACCTTGAGTCGAGCCCGCAGGGTCGACATCGGGAGTTCTTCGCAGTGGACGCAGCCTCCAGACGAAGAGCGAGGGCTGCGTGGTCTGGGCCCAGGCAGAGAGTGCAGATCACGTGGCGGTCTCCGGCGCTGGGCGGGGCTCGGAACGAGCCACAGGAAGTGCTAGACATTTTTAGAAAAACGTCTCGTGCTCTTGTAGAAAGGGGTGTCGCGGCAGCGAACGTCGCCGGATAGCGTAACTTGCACGGATGGCTGAAGGCGGCGAAGACGACCGGCTTCTTCAGACGCTTTCCTCTGCTGGCTCTGTCGCTTTTTCGACAGCAGCGGCGGCTTCTCTCAGGATCCAGCGATACGTAGAGCTTCGCTGAAGAGATGAAAAAATCATCCGATTATATACGCTAAACCACGCCCATTCTGACGGGCTAAGACGCGATGAGGGCGCGACGCTCTTCATTGGGCGTGACGTCATGCAGGGCTCACGCCTGCCCTGCGGAAGTCACGCCGGCACGTCCGCAGGGCAGCCAATGAGCACGCTAGACAGCCTGCACTAGGTCTGCTAGCTGCTGCACTTGACAATAAATACAAAATTAAGGATAATTTTTTGGCTTCATATCTCGAGAAAAGATGACTTTACCCGTAGTAAGCTAACTTACGCAATACGAGAGAACCTCTCGTAAGATAACTTATTACTGATTTGTTCTTTATTGTTTTAATAAAATTAAATCCTTAATATCAGTTATTCCCTTTGCCTTCATGGAAGCACTACAGAAACCACCATATTTGTAAAGTGGGATTTACACGACATATGCTTTGCTTTGCATATTGTTGGCTTCTCAGACTTATGGGATGCACAAAAATATCTAGGCAAATCAGTGTTGGTATATAGTTTGACACTGTATTAAAATCACAGACTCACAGACATAAATCTGTAAGTTTAATAATACATTTAATTTTATAGCATTCGCATTGCCAACTGTTTTCTTACATTCTTGAGAAGGTGATGGCTGTAGCTTTGCTCTTACGATCATGGGTAAGACAGTCTTAAAAATCTTAATGCATTAACAAAAATGTCTGATCTTTTTCTGAATATTTTTTAAACATAAATCAAGCACATTTCATGTGTCTACTGCATATAAACTGTGTAAATGTCAGGTTTATGAGATTTATTTAATTTATTCAATAGTAATTCATCTTCTGTATTGTGGTGTCATTACATATGTAATGAAGATGTTTAATGTATTTAATATGTAATCATTTCCAGAAACAGTTTACACATTTAGATGTGTGTTATGATATATGAACATGTTGTAACATCACATGTAATATGTACACTGTAGTGTAAAATGCTACTCATTGAGTTCAAATGTCTATTACTAGACATCAAATATTCACAAATCTTCAAAAATTTTGTATGAAAATTCTCATCACATTTTATAAAAGCAACATAATAATGGCACATGTACAGTGACATTTCAGGTAAAAAAAATAAAATAAAATAATTATTAGATGTGGTAAAAAGAACTTGCTAATCCAACAAAAACTTTACCATCATTACAGGCTGCTGAATATACAACTCTTCCACAATTCCGGCTCATCATTATCTACAGTCTCCTAATGCAGTGTAAGAAGAAATGAGATTTTCATTAAAAATAATACAGCTGCACACACATCAAATCATTTTCACATCACTTTAGTTAAAAAAGCTTTAATTAATGAGGTAATTAACAAAGTTATGTAATGCTTAATGGTTACACACTGTTGTTGCTTTTGTAGATTTGAATACTGTATGTATGAAAATACATGAATCATATGTGAAGTTAAAGGAATTGTTCACACAAAACTGAAAATTCTGTCATCATTTGCTAACCCTCGGCTCGTTTTGACAGAATTTTTATTTTATTTTGGGTGAATAAATGATAAATGTTAAGTGAGAAATTTAAGTGACCAGTTGATGATCTGCTAAGCATTATATGAAACATTAAATAAAAGGATGTTTGTGTAATGCTATTCTAAAAATGTATTATAAACTGTTGTCCGCTTTTCGGTCTCAAATTCAGACAAAAGGATGTTCAATTGATATTTTACTTATTTCACTGAACTGAAAACACTTATTTGCATAAAATGTTTTTCATGTCTACCTCTTGTTATTTTGTTTAATATATTAATTTATTCTTACAGCACTATTAATGAAACCTGCAGGGACTATTAACTGCTCCGAACCGACTACAGATGCTCTTTTAACAGCCCTGAAGAAGAACATCTTTGGCAAAACTGAAGTGAGGCCAGTTATTTACCCGAAAACTCCCACAAACATCAGCCTGAGCTTCGTTCTGTATGGAATTTTAGATGTGGTAAGTTTATTTAATATCACTGGCAATCAAATGTGTGGGAGATAAGACAAAAGAGTGAGCCGCTTATGAAAAAAAAAAAAACATAGCAGAGGCAAGAATCTGAAAGCGGGCAGAAATACAAGCAGATTTTATAGGTGAAACAAAATAGAGCTCCATATCTGTATTAATAGGAAAAATAAAGCCAGTGTGCCTTTGTGACGACAGGGCTGAGTGAAGTTGTGTATTTCAAAAAGTGGGCCAAGCATTGAACCCTAAGGAATCCCTAAAATGTAGGAATTATAATTTTTATAATTTAAAAAAAAACTTTCAATCAATTAAGAATGAAAGAATTCAATCAATTAAGAATTAAATGTTAAGGAGCATGTCTTTAGACAATTGTGGGGGTGGAAATGATGTACATTCTTATTTTTTTTCTTTCAGGATGAAAAAGCTCAATTATTTGACTCGTACATTTGGGTGTTTTTGGTAAGACATTCTGCAGCCTTTTTTTAGGCATTTAAAGAAGTGAGATCCCTCACTATTTCGTGCAGCCTTCATTATAATGATATTTTGTTTTGTAGATTTGGAATATTGAAGGTTTGAGCTGGGATCCTGATGAATGTGGAACAGACAGAATCTCACTGCCAAGAAAACAACTGTGGAGGCCTGATATTGTCATCAATGAATTGTGAGTTCAAAAGTATCAAGCTATTATATTTGATTTACTGTATGTCAATGCTGATTATTGCAAATAAATCTAAAATCTTTCTCCTGCATTTCATGAAATGTTACAAGACTTGTTGCAATTTGGTACATTTGACTAAAAAGCATACTCAAAAGCTTTAATAAATGTGATGGATAATAGAAGGAATGCCCTTTAACATTTGCATACTCCCCTTTTCTAATGCTGCTGGTTTTTTTTGGTTTTTTTACTCTAAAGCATGGATGAAAACAAAGTCCCAGACACATATTACCTCTATGTCCAAAATACTGGTATGGTAATGGATGATCTTCCAATTCATGTCATCAGTTCCTGCAACATGGACATCTACACCTTTCCATTCGATATTCAGAACTGCACATTTACTTTTAATTCATACAAGCTCTTTGGTAAGTTGGCTTGACTGGAGGGTAGATTTTCAGTTATAACTACGACATTTGTGACCCCGTCATCTCTCATTTGTTTGGTCTTCTCTACAGCGGTGGATGTTCAATTGTCTTTTGTTGAACCAGTGGAGGAAACACTTAAAAGTTCCCTAGATGCAATGCAAACTAAAGGAGAGTGGGAGCTAGTCACCATATTAGCTGAAAAACCTGCATTACTTCCTGAAGAGCTAAACAATTCTTATGATACACTCATTTACTATGTATGAACACACAGAAGTTACATTTCTTTAACTTGGATAAGGATAAATTAGGAAAAAACCCTTTTTAATCAAATTTTTATTGGAACATATATAACAGTTTTTATATTTTATGATTCAGATCGTTCTCAGGCGTCGACCCACCATGTACGTGGTGAACCTCCTGATTCCCAGCTGTTTCCTCATTGCTGTAGATCTATTCAGCTTTCTTCTACCAACTCAGAATGTGGATCGATCTTCCTTCAAAATGACCCTCATCTTGGGTTACACTGTGTTCCTGCTGCTAATGAACGACCTGCTGCCCGTCACAGGAAACAGCTTACCTCTCATAAGTTTGTATAGGAGCTTTTTATTGTAGCGTTACACTTTTTCATAACTAGGCATGTGACAAGTTTCCAGAGTCAAGTACTTATTCTGGCTGCACTGTAAGAAAATGCTCAAGTTAAGTAACAGCTTGCACCAGTGCAAACCCCTTTTGGCATTAAAAAAACTACTGTCAGGATTTACTACAGACATGCAGTGAGAAATTATGGTTACACTTTATTTTAATGTGTCCCCGTTACAGTGTAATTATACATTTAAGTACTGAGAAATAGTAATTGACTACGTGTACTTACTATAGGGTTAGGGTAGGATTAGGGTTTGGGGTTAGTTTGTAATTGAATGTCATTTTCATGTTTATAGTTTGTTGGATCAAATCCAGTGTGTAGTCAGATTTAACAATTTGAATTGTGGAATGTTCATAAAATGTCCTATTACAATCCTATGTCCAAATATGTCAAATATAGCCATATAAAGGGCGTGGCCTAGTTTGCTCTGCTCTTGGTAGATTGTGATGGTCATTATGGAAACGAGCTGGCTGCATCTTTAATTTGCACATTGTCAGTAGATCGCCCGCAAAACTTTCCACACCCATCTGTGCTTTTATGGGATTGCAGTCTCACACAAATTTGCCCTGTTTTATAAATCTGGCCCGAAAATGTCTTGTCACTTGTCACAGTCATTGCTAGTTATGACTGTTTTAAAGCATATTTTCCTCTCTTGCCAACCGGCATTAATATTGTAAAGTTTTAGCTTATTTTTGAAACATTACATTTCCTCTCTATTATATTCAATCTCTTTCCAGATGTGTTTTTCTCTCTCTGCTTGGCACTGATGGTGGCCAGTCTTCTGGAGACAATTCTTATCATAAATATTCAGTGTGGCTCCAGTAACTATGGACCGTTACCTCGATGGGCCAAGGTGCTTTTCCTCAACTACCTTGCTAAACTTGTTTTTTTAAGCAAGAAACCCAGTGACCAAAACTGTGGGCCTGAAGGTGAGTCTTACATGCAAAATTAAATATGTCTGTCTAGTGTTGTTTATAAAAATGAAAACCTGCCAGATAAATGTACGGATGATCCGCTGTGACACCACAGGCTAAAGTTTTATTCAATTGTTTTGAACTAATCATTTCCAAATGTCATTAATGGCTTGTTTCCACCGAGCGGTACGGTACGCAATTATTTCCGTTTCTACTGTCAAAAGTTGTGAATGGTACCAAAATGCCGAACCGTACTGTACTACTTTTTCGGTACCCTTCCGTTGGGGACGGGGTATCTAGCACAGTGGTACAGTACCTAAAGGGTGGAGCTAGACTCACTGCAGAACCTTTACTGGTTGACAGAGAATCTTGCGCGTGCTACAAGGGGAATGACAACATAAGAAGCGCCATTTTTTAATATACAGTTGAAATATAATACTATTGTGTTATTGTGTCACGTAATGTAGTTTTAAAAGTTTTTCAGGCGAGAATGTAGTTGTTTAAAGCTCAAATCTGTGGTTTATGAAAATTTGATCCAGGTTGTGAGATCCATTCCAGGCGATCACCAGGCGCTCGGCACTCGTGTACCCCGCCTGGAACAGCCTTTCCTCGGCTAGTCGTTCTTACGTTTGCCGCTGACTCTGACGTCTCTGTAGTGGTTAAACATGAGATATAATTTGTCTTTCTTGTGTAGAACTAACGGGCGATCTTTGGTCTCGTGAATCTATAATTTGTTCCCTGGCCAACCGTTTTGGCTGAGGGCTAAGTGAAGATTCATAACTTTATATATTGAGGCCCCGTTTACACGAGAACGATTCCGGGTGAAAACGTAAAAATATTTTATCGGATGTGCCTTTCGTTTACACGGCAACGGCGTTTTGGGGGCTTAAAAACGCAAAAAAGTGAAACCACCCTCCAGAGTGGAAATCTTAAAAACGCTCCACCATCGCGTTCCCGTCTAAACGGTAAAAACGCAAATCTGCTCACGGTGGCTCTCGTCGCGTACGCGTTTACGTCACAGGCATGCGCCAGTACAGGAAAATAACAACCAACATGTCAGATTATTTCCATACGTCGGACCTTCAAGTTGCCCTAGCAGCTCTGAAAAACACACAAGAGTCTTTTCGGTCTTTTCAGCAGTTGTACAAAATATTCTAAGATATTGGTGTTGTTGTGTGGCAGTGCTTCACATTGCCACCTAGCCACCTGGAGTGCATACTACATCGAATTTCACACACTTTTGCATCACCATATGCACGCGGATTTCCCAACCATAACGCTTGTCTAAACGCAGAATAAAAAGTAATAACGCAACGCCACTTTTGCGTTTTCTCTTCAGATCGTTTCCGTGTAAACATAGCCTTAGGCTATTTAACTTTACCGTTGTAACGTTAGACTAGAGCGCTGACTTTGTATGTTTGACTGAATTGTTTGCTTTATTTCTTATTGTATAGCTTCTTGTACCTTATACTTATACTTTTATAATGGCTATTATTGAGAAAACTGAAATTTAACAAATAGAGATAGGGACTAACCCTAACTTGGCAAGTCCGAATTTTGCGTACTTAGTATTGAGAAACGCCTAATGTCGGCGCTTGTCTTATTGTGACATACAGCCACATGCCGAGAAGAACAATGTCATCCATTGTTGTTTACTATGTCGCTTTCTTCTTCGCGCAAAATTGACGTAGATTGTTTCTTTTTCAGTATAGGCTACACCACGTCTATCAAGTAAGGGTACTGTTGGCGGTGGAAACGCAAGCCAGATCAGGGTTTACCATCCCGAATCGTACTGTACTGTACCGTACCTTACCGCTCGGTGGAAACGAGCCATAAGAGTATTCCATTTATGTATAAAAATGTATTTATTTCAACATCTTCTCTTGTACCTGTAGAGCACAGAACTGAGACCAAACACTGTGATCCTGTAGTTGACACCCCTCTGAGCGAAGCGATCCATAACACAACTCCTACTCTTCAGGAACTGAGGAAGATAAGCCACGAGTTACTATCCATCCGTCAGCAAGTCGATAAACATTTTAAAACTGATGAGAACGTAGATGAGTGGGTACATTTGGGTGAAGTCATTGACCGCTTTCTTTTTGGGATGTATATTATCTTTCTCTCAGTGAGTTTCATCACCATTTTTGCAATTTGGCTGTCCTGGTATGGCGAAAATACATCAGTGGTATAACTGAACTGCATGAAAATTAGTGCTGTTAAGTGTATATGATTACTGAACCTGTAAAATTGTTGCCATTTATTAAATTAAATGGTCTGTAATGAAGTTTTTCTGCCAATGTCAGGTTTTGTTTTTATTGATTTTTGTAATCCAACTGATTGATCAGTATAAATGCATGTTGTAGGATGTTTATTTTCAAATGTACTCAGGTAATAAGTTTAGTAAGTTAAGATAGAATGACTGCTTCAAGAAACTCTGATGAGTTTCTGACAAAGGGTCAGTACAGCAGTGGAAAATTAATTGAAAACTTAAGCACTGTAAAAACATTCTTATGTGTTAATATTACAAATGGCTATGCAGTTTTAGATAACTGTATTTTAATGGGAGTTTATATATAGATACAGTTGCTGATTTCAGTTTTTAGTTTTGAGAAATCACTGGTTGGTTGGTAAATGGTCGAAATATAACAAAAATCCTTCTTACTGTTGTTTGAAATAAGTGGAAAAAAATTAATCAAAAAATATGTATGATTTCTGTCTGAAATAAGTGAAAAAAATAATATCTGTTACAGATCTATGAGGGAGGACTCAAGCTCAGAATGAGTGTTAACGGGGTTTTTTTTAACAGTTGACAAGATGAGAAATGGTGGGTGAGGTGATAACAGTCCAAACAGTAGGCAGGGAACAAAGCACAATGACAGGTAGGGATGTCCCGATCAGGTTTTTTTGCCCTCGAGTCTGAGTCCGAGTCATTTGATTTTGAGTATCTACCGATACCGAGTCCCGATCCGATACTTATATAATACATAAAAAAATAATAAAGAAGAGAGAAAAAACAGATCCAGGATGTTCCTTATTTTTTATTTAATTCACCTTATTTTAACATTCAACAACTCTGCTAACAAACAGAGCACTTCTGTGAGGTTGCTTGAACAATCAAGTAATAAATAACATAAAATCTTCACTTTTGGACTTTAGTGCAACAGTAAATATAGAAAAAGTCTAATATAAAAACAAAGAGAACCTCAACTTAAAATACCCAGCAGGCATGTAAACAAAAAATAAAAATGTTTTAAAAGTGTATAAAAAAATAATGAGAATATATACACTCACCTAAAGGATTATTAGGAACACCAGTTCAATTTCTCATTAATGCAATTATGTAATCAACCAATCACATGGCAGTTGCTTCAATGCATTTAGGGGTGTGGTCCTGGTCAAGACAATCTCCTGAACTCCAAACTGAATGTCAGAATGGGACAGAAAGGTGATTTAAGCAATTTTGAGCGTGGCATGGTTGTTGGTGCCAGAAGGGCCGGTCTGAGTATTTCACAATCTGCTCAGTTACTGGGATTTTCACGCACAACCATTTCTAGGGTTTACAAAGAATGGTGTGAAAAGGGAAAAACATCCAGTATGCGGCAGTCCTGTGGGCGAAAATGCCTTGTTGATGCTAGAGGTCAGAGGAGAATGGGCCGACTGAGTCAAGCTGATAGAAGAGCAACTTTGACTGAAATAACCACTCGTTACAACCGAGGTATGCAGCAAAGCATTTGTGAAGCCACAACACGCACAATCTTGAGGCGGATGGGCTACAACAGCAGAAGACCCCACCGGGTACCACTCATCTCCACTACAAATAGGAAAAAGAGGCTACAATTTGCAAGAGCTCTCCAAAATTGGACAGTTGAAGACTGGAAAAATGTTGCCTGGTCTGATGAGTCTCAATTTCTGTTGAGACATTCAGATGGTAGAGTCAGAATTTGGCGTAAACAGAATGAGAACATGGATCCATCATGCCTTGTTACCACTGTGCAGGCTGGTGGTGGTGGTGTAATGGTGTGGGGGATGTTTTCTTGGCACACTTTAGGCCCCTTAGTGCCAATTGGGCATCGTTTAAATGCCACGGCCTACCTGAGCATTGTTTCTGACCATGTCCATCCCTTTATGGCCACCATGTACCCATCCTCTGATGGCTACTTCCAGCAGGATAATGCACCATGTCACAAAGCTCGAATTATTTCAAATTGGTTTCTTGAACATCACAATGAGTTCACTGTACTAAAATGGCCCCCACAGTCACCAGATCTCAACCCAATAGAGCATCTTTGGGATGTGTTGGAACGGGAGCTTCGTGCCCTGGATGTGCATCCCACAAATCTCCATCAACTGCAAGATGCTATCCTATCAATATGGGCCAACATTTCTAAAGAATGCTTTCAGCACCTTGTTGAATCAATGCCACGTAGAATTAAGGCAGTTCTGAAGGCCAAACACAGTATTAGTATGGTGTTCCTAATAATCCTTTAGGTGAGTGTATATACATTAGGGGTGTAACAGTTCACAAAATTTGCGGTTCGGTTCGATACGATACAGCAAAAAGAAAGAAATGCCAGAGAAATGTCCTATTTATTAAAAGAAAAACTATTTTTAAATAAATTTGAGTTTTCCTACATCTTGAAACTTTCAGGTTTATAAATGGGGGTTATCTTTGAAGGATTAACAAATAATGTTTTGGTAATCACATTAAAAATAACATTTAAATATATATTTATATAATATTTGAGTTTTGAAGTGCAACATTAAGTCCATGTTCATTCACGGCACAATCTTTCTCCTGGTTCCCATGTCAGCGCTGTTTGATCTAATAGAGATCTACGGTTAATAACGGAGAAATGTGAATGCTTCTCACTAGATCTCGCAGTGATGTTATTACTTCAGTGGCGAATTCAAATGTTTTCTTCACTGGATCTCTTAGCGCTGTGTCGCTTGATCTCGCGCTGCACTGATATTGATGGTCCGAACTGATAATGGTCCGTTAAGTACAATATAATGAGAAGCGCAGTTTCGTTCCGCTTTCATTACGTTTGCCATTTGATGTTGCGCAACGTTGTGGTGATCGCGCCAGCGCGGATTTTGTCTGCAGGAAAAATGGTCCTAGGAATCGTTCGGTTTGTATGCGTACCGAACCGGAAGCCTCGTACCGAAACGGTTCAATAATAACGAATACATGTACCGTTACACCCCTAATTTACATATATCCGAGTCCTGATCGGAAGGTAACCTCCGATTCCGATCGAGTCTGAAACCACGTGATCGGGCCCGATTTCCGATCGCGTGATCGGATCGGGACATCCCTAATGACAGGCAGGTCTCGCTGCTTGGTAGAGAGGAAGCAGCCAACTTGCAGGGCTGGAACAAACAGGGAACACAACAAACACAAGACAAGATATCCAGGCACTATACACAACTGTAACCATGAGCAATAAGTAACAGGTGAGTTAGTACAACACACTAAATGACAACAAACTGGCAAAACATGAGGGAAAGAGAACACATATAAAGGGAGCTGAGAACAAGAGGAACAGGTGAGCACATTCAGACAAGAAACAGGTGAACACTCTCAGGCAAACGAGGACTCAACAAGGGAGCAGAGAACATGAGGAACAGGTGACAACAAAAGAGGACTCAATTAGACAAGAGGGTGTGGTAAAGGGAAACAAGGAGGCAGGAACAAGGAACAAGGATGCGTTCGGCACTATAGATCATAAAATACTCTTGGATCGACTACAAAACTACACTGGTGTTCAGGGACAGGCATTAAGCTGGTTTAGATCATACTTATCAGACTGTTACCATTTTGTCTGTTTAAATGGGGAAGATAACGTCAGTAGACTATGGAGTGCCGCAAGGATCGGTGTTAGGCCCTCTGCTATTCTCAATATATATGCTGCCACTTGGTAATATTATAAGAAAACATGGAATTAATTTCCACTGTTATGCTAATGACACTCAATTATATATTTCATCATGACCAGATGAAAACACTAACTCATCTAAATTGACAGAGTGTCTTAAAGATATAAAATGCTGGATGACGTGTAATTTCCTGCTATTAAATTCAGATAAAACGGAGGTATTACATATTGGTCCAAAAAACTACCCACAAAACCTCTTACAATACAACTTTAATTTAGAAGGATGTCCTGTTACTTTATCCACTACAGTAAAAGACCTGGGTGTTATACTAGACCGCAACTTGTCTTTCGAAAATCATACTTCATATGTTAAAAGAACAGCCTTTTTCCACCTTAGAAACATTGCTAAGCTACGTAACATGCTATCTGATTACTGTAATGCTTTATTAGCTGGTTGTCCTGCATCCGCAATAAACAAACTACAGTTAGTGCAAACTACAGCTGCTAGAGTTCTTACTAGGTCAAGAAAATATGATCATATAACAACAATTTTATCATCTCTACACTGGTTACCTATTAAGTTCCGTATCAATTACAAAGTATTACTACTGACCTATAAAGCCCTAAATGGTCTAGCTCCTGTGTATTTAATGGACCTTCTATCGCCCTACAATCCAACGCGATCTTTAAGATCATTAAATTCGAGGCTTCTGGTCATTCCTAGGATATCTAAGTCCACTAAAGGAGGGAGGGCGTTCTCACATTTAGCTCCTAAACTCTGGAATAGCCTTCCTGATATTGTTCGAGGCTCAGACTTGCTGTCCCAGTTTAAAACTAGATTAAAGACGCATCTCTTTAGCCAAGCATTCACATAATGCTTACCTTTTATACTACTGTTCAATCAGACCGAATGCATTAATATTATGAACAGCAGCTATGCTAATTATTTCCCATCTGCTTTTCTGCTGTTATCTCGGGACGCTAGTCCCGAGGTAAATGGCGTTCTTCAGCTCCAGTTTGTATCCAGCCTCTCACGGAGACTTCAGATGCCCCAACACCTGCGATGAGATGACTCAACACCTGTGAAGAGACGACTCGATGCCTGTGAAGAGACGACTCAATACCGGCAATATGTTATGCCCTAAATTAATACATGATTAACTAACTGTATTTTTCTATGAACACTTCTGAAATGCACTTTCTGTAAAGCTGCTTTGAAACAATATGTATTGTGAAAAGCGCTATACAAATAAATTTTAATTGAATTGAATTGAACAGAGAAGCACATGGCCAACACAAACAAAGACAGAGCCATATGTTCAAGCACAACACAAACATAGAGACATGAAACAGACAACACAGACAAAGCTGCCAGGGCATAACCCTGACAATAATAAAGGAATCAACAAATATGTATAAATTTTGAAATTTGCAACTTTTTAATATTTGAAA